GATACGACCTACTACAATTCTCTAGTCATGTCGTCTGATAACGCGCCATTATACGATACTCTTCTTGGTGAGACCGAGATACCAAGTTGGCCTTGTAGCATGCGCACAATCGACATGGAGTATTTAAGACAGTGGAACTCGACTTCGGCTGCTAACTTCTTCGGCTCGTTGACTGATGCCGCTGAGGAGCTGCCCTGGCTGCAAGAGATTACCATCGTGGCCATGGTGGACACTGACTGGCGACAGCGAGCAGAGTTCAGGCAGAAGTGGAGTGCCAAGTTCCAAAAGGTCTTTGCCAGGAAGTGGGAAGCTCCCAATCCCCATCTTGCGTCTCTGAGGGCCTTCAGGGAGTGGAAAGAGCAGGCTGACAAGGAAGAGAAAGTCGATTCCTTCATCGAGGGCGTCTCTGAAGAGGCTGTAGACAGGGTCGAAAAATTAGCTGCGGTTGATGCTAGCGATGGTGATAGCGCCGCTGTTCTCCTCCCTTCACGCGCGCGGAAGCAGGATGATTGGGGCACCAAGCGTCTACGGTCCCGCTCAAAAGCAGCTATGAGCTACGACGAGGCGTCGGAGAATGATTTAGTATCTGATGAAGAGGCGCTGTCAGCAGAAGACGAAGACGAAGCGGCGTTTGTGCAGGGTCGCTGCCATACGGTCATCTTCCGTGTCGACAATTTCCGTCCACGCGAGGAGATTTTCGCCGAAACCGACTTTCTTGACGCAGAACCAAGCGGCGACGAGGAATGGGACGAAAACGACAATGACGAAAACGAGGATGAAGGCGGCTACGCGTGGTAGTTGGGTAGTGTTTTGGTACCAGTAGGCGTTTCGGCTTCCTGGCGCATGGATCTATCTCGACGGAGACGGCGTATAGTTATTGCATACTTGTCCAATCGCCGATAGGAACTGCATTGGGAGGCGTTGGGTCATGCTTGTATAGATATGCTGTATCGTTGGGCGTGTATTAGGCCCTCATGTTGGGCTCCGATATCTGAGCCTCAAGTCAGACTATGCATGATATGTCTCAGGCCACAGTTAGAATGTGATCAAATCGCGTTACTCAAACTGCTCTTTCCAACATATCGCCTCTTGGGGGTAGCAGTGTTCCAAGCCAGCTTTAAGACAGTGCACAGCCGCGCAGAAGACGCTGGCCAATCCCCGTGCCCACCACGACCGCTAACAAGGACCACCCATCGCGCACTGCTCGCCCTCTTGTGCCATAACCGCTGGCTGCGATGCGTTAACAACTCTTCTATTATTCTTCTCGTTGTTCCTCCCTACGCACCTTGCTACCTCTTGACTCTTCCGACCCGCCATCCCAAACCTCGACACCACCATGGCTGCGCCTACACCCCCAATCCCGCCTGTCTCGCCGGACTCGGGCCCGACGGACCCTACGCTGCCCAAGCTTCCTGCTGGATGGATCGCGCAGTGGGACAACTCGTATGTGTCTCGTTACCTTGGTCTCGGAGTTGCTGAGGCTGCCCCGCCTTCGCACCACATGCCCCGCGACACGGCTAACAGCTGCACAGATCGCGGAAGTACTACTACGTCCAGATCAGCACCGGCGTCTCGCAGTGGGATCTCCCCACCAGCGAGGCCCCCATAGGCGGCGGCTCCAGCCACAGCACACCCGCACAGCACTCGAACCCCTACCACAGGCCTGACGGCACCCAGGGCCCCGATGTCGCTGACGGGACAAGAGGCATGGGCGACGGCCCCACGGGCGACCGGGCTGGCGGGCTAGGCGTATGAGACACGTTTGCGAATCCATAACGCGGGGCTGACAAAGGACACAGGGCTTCGCGATGAACGCGCTCATGGGCGGAAACAAGCAGAGCAGCGGCGGCGGCTCGGGCAACCTCGTCGGCCAACTCGCTGGCTCGTTTCTTGGCGGCGGAAAGCAGTCTGGAGGCCATGCAGGCGGTGGTGGTGGTGGTGGCCTCGGACAGCTAGCTAGTGGCCTGCTGGGCGGCGGAAAAAACTCGTCTGGAGGCCAGCATGGTAGCAGCTCCGGTGGCGGTGGCGGTGGCGGTGGCCTCGGAGGCATGCTGAGTGGCGTACTCGGTGGCGGATCGGTATGCTTTGGTCTTGATTTGAGCATGGAGATGATTGACTAACAGTTCGCAGCACACCAAGCCAAACAGCGACTACGGCTACAACCACTCGTCTGCCGCGTCCAGCGGAACCTACACTGGCACCGCACCCCCGAGCGCATACAACCCCGGCAGTCAGTCTAGCCAGTACGGCAGCGGACCTCCAAGCCACTCAAGCTACAATTCACCAGCACCTGGGCAGCAGTACGGCCAACAAGGTCACGGAGGCTATGCATCACCGCAGCAGCAACACGGGCAACATCAGCATGGACAGCAACAGCACGGATACGGTGGACAGTCAGGGTACGGCGGAGCAGCTCCGGTGCCGTATGGCCAAGGACCTCCCGGCGGACCTCCTGGCGGCTACGGACAGCAGGGTAAGAATATGTGCCATGTAGCATCGCAAGACCAATCAGGCTGACTCCATCTAGCTGGCTACGGAGGACCGGCATATGGCGCACCAAGCGGCCCGTACGGTGGTTCTCAGAATTACGAAGGACATCAACATAACCAGTGTGTTACTTGAATGAGCGCATGTACGACAAACGCTGACTTTGTGACCCTTAGATATGGAGGCGCCCCGACACATCAAAACCAGAACGCGTTTGGCGGTCATCAGTACCCTCCTCCCCCAGGACAACAACATCAGCAAGGTGGATATGCCGGACCTCCTGGCCCACATACTCCACAGCCTGGCTGGTAAAAATAGCCTCTGTGAGCCCAGTTCGAGCTTGCGAGTTCCTACGAGTATTATATGAATGATAACGGGATGCTTATTATGCTTGAGGCCGAGGACACGCATAATTTGACTAGTTGTACATTCAGTCTATGCGGAGAGAGACAGAACTGCCTTGGGATATTCAAGGTTGTTTGCCAGACACTTTTACCCTTTTTTTCTTTTTCTTCTCGGATGTAGATTGGATGGAACTTGTTTTCTTTGATGATTCTATTGCATTAGATTACCACATTTGTGAGTGTGTGAGTGTGTGTGAGAGAGAGTGTGTGTGTGTGTATGTGTCTGTGTGGAAACAAGTTCTGATTTTCTTTTCCCGGTGGTGGTGGTGGTGGTGGTGGTGGTTGTCAACAATGCTGGATTGGGAAATCTTTGTTGCTACTGAACCCGACTGCAGTGCGAGGCGGTTATCAACACACGCGCTTTACTTTGTTTGTTGCCTAAGGATTTCTTTCGGATAGCGCTATTGTCTATTGTAGGTATGTTGTCGTTTAGGTATCTTGGCAACAGTTTAACGTAGGGTTGGCTCAGCTAGCCATGAGGGTTGGTGTTGCTTACTTACTTTTGCCGCGCCCTACTCGAAATGGCGGCTTGGAAAGCACATAACCAACCTCATGATGTGCAGCTGGCTGTTTCCTTGACGATACCAAACGAAACACTGCTTTTTTGTTGTCGTTGTCTCTGTCTCCGGGACCATATCAGAGAGAGGAAGTTAGACGGCGTAAGCATATTGTGGAGTTTCTGTGTTTGGGGGACGCGGTGGCCGACCCGATTGAGCGTCTTTTCTGGGCCAGCATTCATGGTGTGTATGCGCTGTTGAGGGTTTTTGTCGCATCCTCTTCCACATCTCTGCTGCCTTTGACCAGAACGTCTTGTCTGACTGACACCGCGTGCTGGCTTTTCTAGTCCATTCGTCGCGTTGTGCGGGCCTCGCTGTCGCTGTCGCTGTAAAGACTAGACTACACCAGACAGGACAAGACGTCCGCAAGTCTCGTCTCAACTGTCCTAAGTGTGCGTGTTCCATCGCCATATGAGCACAATACTCAATACACAACCGACCCTGATGTTCCATCTTCCATGCGCTTTCCATGTCACTCACTTGAACAAATCCGCGCCATCCCCCCCGCATATCCCCAATGCTCCCGCTTCACAAACTACCCTCCACCCCACTTGCACCCGCCCCTGGTTCCCTGCCCACACATCCCCCCCCTCGCAGCTGCCCACCCACCCACTCAGACTCGCTCGAAACGCGCGCACATCCTGCCGCGGGATTCTGATCCAGACATCTCGACTGCGCGTCTTAAGGATATCGATGGGGATCGCTGCGCCGGTTTGTCCGAGATATGAGTGTAGTGGCGAGGTAAGTAGGGTTGAGGTGAGGAGGGGGGAAATGTCTTTGACGATTTCTGCGCTGTTGATGGCGTTTGGTGCTAGATTTGGCACGGGTGTTGTTGGGGAAGTAGCTGAGGAAGGGGGGTTTGGGGCAGAGGAGGAGAGAGGAAGGGTAGCCGTGCCTGGTGTTAAGAGACAGAGGTGCAAGTAGGACCAACTTGTTTTGCGAAAGGTGGCTTGGTGTAAGATGTGGGGTTCGTTGGCTTTGCGCTTTCGCTTCTTGGGGTTTTCTGGACTTGTTGGGGGAACTGGTGTGGCTGCGTCGGTGTCTGCGCGTTCCGACGCGTTTGTTCGTTTAGCTGGGGCTTGTGCGACGGTTGCGCGCTCTATCGTAGCGGTGGAGGACGGTTTAGACGGAGGAGGTATGGGCACCATTTTTGTGGTATCTACAGTGCGCTGGAAAGAGGTATTTTGTGGGTGCGCCGAATACCTCACAGACGTCGAGTTGGCTGTGTAGAAGTCGAAGCTTCCGAGGTGTCTGACGCGAATCTTTCAGCGGGGTTAACTAGCGCGGTCATGTTACCTCCGAACGCGTTTCAGCTTACCGTACTGTGGTAGCCGGGGTAATTGATTGATTGATTTAACGTTCTATATGAGTCTGAGACTATGGAGAATGAGAGGAGCAGTAGCCCCTCTGGTAAAGGAGGTGGTAGTTTTCAAGAGGAAGGAGTCTCTGAAAGTACAAGGGATGGTGAGGGTTCTGACCCTTGGTCTTCAGCTGCCCAAAGGCAATGTACTGGGAGTGCTTGCCCAAGGCATTTTGGAAAGTAAGGCAAAGGTGATGGGAGCCAGATTTGAACTGACGCTCTTTTTGTAACCTGCCAAAACAGGAAACTTTTAAGAGTACCAGGTCAAGCACTTTTCCCACTTGACCATCCCACCTGGTAGCCAGGGTAAGTATGTATGTATGTATGTATGTATGTATGTATGTATTCAATTAATGTCCTTTCTGAGTCTGAGACTATAGGATGTGAGCAGCCAGGGCTGCTTAGGTAGGAAGAGGATATTTATCAAGGGGTAAGAGTTTCTGTAAGTACTAGGGATGGTGAGGGTCTGTTACGGCACAGGAATTACAACAGCATTTCCTATGCCAACGCAACGTGGACATGGTAACAGAGAGCACATCACATAGCTACCATACTGGCGGTATGCAGCTTGTGCGTCACGGCCCCACCTGTAACGGCTCTACCCACTACGGCCCCACCTGTCAGGCACGTTAGTCAATTGCCCGGTCCCCACAGGGACAACACACTCTCAATTGCCCAGTCCCCACAGGGACAATGCAGTCTCTGTTGCCCGGTCCCCACAGGGACAACGCAGTCTCAATTGACCGGTCCCTACAGTGACAACGCACAAGATGCTAAGACAGTTGATAGCATATAGTATATATAGACAGCACAGCAAGCCCTTATGGCCCAGTGTATTCAACTCATTCAGTGACAAGCAATACTACTGTTCTATCTTCGATACGCTTTACAGAGAGCCCCTTCTACTATCTTTGTCTCACCCCTCCGATCCTTATCCCATTCATCCCAGAGAACCAACATTGCGTCCCCCAACTATGTACCATACATCTAGCCTTCCAGCTTTGGTTGTACCCTCCAGTTGGACGGACCCTCACAGGGTCTAAGCCCTTGTAACAAGGTTACCTACTAAGACTGGACTTGGAGCTAATCCAGACCTTATGTTCTCCCTTGTTACAGTTATCACCCATGTCTGGACGCGGAGCCAACCTGGACCTGATTCAGACTTGAACCTGACTTAGTTCTGACTCAGTCCTCCCTAGCCTATATGTATTTCAGCTTGCCGTTCCCTAGATGTATATAGGCAGTTTTCTGCAATCCTTTTGTACAAGACCTATTGTGGTGGAGTAGAAGTGACATCATGTGTGCGGATGTGTGCAGAAAGTGAGCCAAAAAAGGGGTTTGGATGCTAAAGGAACATGGTGACAAGCAGACAACGGAACAAGCAACCACAACAGATAGACACCACATAATGGAATAGAACAATACCTGCCTTTGGGCGTCAAGCCCTACCTACACCACCACACTATAGGTGTCAATAGATCTTAGGTTACGGTTCTCCTACGCACTCCTATGTGCCTCTGAGTGAGACCACGCCAAATTCGGATCTTTTGTCTTGCCTGCGTTATTACAATTCTAGAGTGTGAATGCCATGTGTTTCAAGCTACTCCTTTGCAGCCTTATGTAATGGGCCAGGCCCTGGAGATCTCGGCTAGGCCTAGACATGGATGGGATCCGTCTATTCCTTTCTTGTTTAGCTTGTAAATAAGCGAAGCACACTGAAAACTCGTCAGTGTTCCTCCATAGCTCTCTATCAATTTGACCTTGTTACCAGGCAATTGCATACTTTGCGTGACCCTTACATTTCGAATTGATCACTTCTTTTCTTATCACTGGAAGCCCTGCATTTGTGTTAGGCATTTATTGGACATTAGAAGCCCTGCTCCATCAGCAGGCATACGGAAATTGGAAAGCCCTATCTCCTCTCAGTGACGGAATAGGCCAGTCTATTATAC